AACAGCACCCGCGTTGGAGGTTTGATCAGCATGCCAGGTGTTTTGACACCAAATGCGCCTATCGACGCGGCTTTTGTCCCAAGCATCTTGTTCACCGCGAAGACTGGTAAGCCTTTGACCATCTCTCCTGGTTCAAACGCCAAGTATGCTGACAACGAAAACACAGTAAAAGGATGTTGCGCCTTCCCGCGTAACGCAGTTGTCGAACTAGCGCAGTTCGTTGAAGCGCACGGCATCAAGCCAGTGGTGGCGCACGAATATGCTTTCGATCAGACTGGGGAAGCATTTGAGATGATGGCGAAGCAAAGTGCTGTGGGCAAGATCGCTGTCAAGATTGGTGGAGAGATGTGAGGAGCCTGACGATTCTAATGTTGTCACCACTGTCGTTACAATACCTGTAAAATCTACTTACAACATACCTGCAATACGCGGTACTTGACGCGATCCCTTTTCATGGTACATTTTGTATTGCGCAAGCTGTGAGTGGCTTGTTTCGTTCTGCGTCATCGCACTACCAGTCAACGCCAACCAAAGTTGAGGATGCTAGGGCACCTTGTGAGTATATAATAGCCACGTCTGTGTTTTCAAGCCGCAGCTTTAAACAGTGCTGTCACTCCAATCTCATATACCCCACCCTTTTCAAATGGATTCACTCAAGCACATGAGCCGAATCTTCTTGGATCTTAGCGGGGAGCGAAGAAAGGCGAGCATGAATTCATCTTTCAATACGGGTGATTTAGAAGACTACGCAAAGTTCAGAAGGCTATTCAACCAAACACGCTGGTTAGGAGAAGGGGGCGAGTAATCTCCATGTACGAACTGTTGTGAGACATTTACTGACTTCGTGCATCCATCTTTAGGCGATGGCACAGTCTACGCATACCAACACAAATATTCGAAAGCGCTCATTGCAGTAAAAACTCCTATTGCGTACAACACTCCTTACCATGCATCTCAAGCAGCTAAACGCATCAAAGAAGAAATCGCAAATCTTACCATCCTCGGTCAGCATGAGCACATCGCCGGAATGTTAGCATGGTCGCATAACCATCATCCCGCGGCCCCAGCAATCTTCCTTCCATTCTGCGAGCTAGGAGATCTTCTTGCATACATGGCCAGCTATAAAGAGCAGCAACTCCGGCATTCAAAACTCATTATACGAACACCCGAAGTCACAATCTGGAAGTGTCTTCGCGACATGGCCCTTGCTCTAGATTACTTGCACAACATGAACGACGAGTTTGGCTACATACACAACGACGTCAAACCAGACAACATCTTGGTCGAATTTCCCAAAGGCTGGAATCCAAAAGATGGGATCCCTGATGAGCCGGTATTCAGATTGACCGACTTCGCTCGCATGACACGATACCCTCTACCCGAAGGTGAGAAGCCCAAAAAAGATTTCCTTGGCACACCCGAATGGGCACCACCATTAGCCGAACAAGAGAAGCAGCGGCCGTCCGTTGATATCTGGGCTCTGGGTGCGACCTTACAAACGCTCGCTTTGAGAATATATCCTGTCCAATCGCGGGAGGCTTTCGTCGAGAGTCGGATTAAGGCAAACAAACCCGCGCCTATCCTGATTGACGACGGCGCTTGGAAACAACTAAAATGGCGTATTCTCATACCCACCGTTTACCGCCCCCTCGACGCTACACAGGAGGAACTGATAAATCACCACGACGTCCGCATGTCCATCTGCGCCAACGGCGCGGACGCGTACAGCGCTTGGAAGCATTGGCCATATACTAGAACACTCAACACCTGGTATAAAAGTATGTGGGAACGAGACGTGGAGAAAAGAACTACGGCAAAGCAGCTTGTCGAGTGGTGCGTTCCGTTGATTGCGAGGTATATTCGTATCGCGCGGAATACGGAAAAGGCGGAAGAGTGCTTTGAGAGGGCGGCGAAGTTGAGGGACGAGGTTGAGGGGAAACAGCAGAATAGAGAGCTAAGAGCCAGGGCTATTGAGCTTTTGGATGCACCTAGCTATGAAGGTAATGGGTATGGTGATCTTTGAGGCAGAATAGATAAAACAGAAGATCCTTCAAGTCGTGGTTTGCTAACAGTATGCGGAAACGCTTTCTCCTCTTCCTCACATTTCTCGCTGCCATCAGCGGCTTACAATTCCTGCTTGGTGAAAGTCGAGTTCTTGACCTTTGAAATCTTAAATCCACCAGGCGCCTGAGTCTGGAACATACCCTTGGGGTCGTACTTCTTAGCCGCAGCGCGGATCTTAGCGACATTTGCGGAGCCGTAGCTACCAAGTGGGTCCTGGTAAGCGTCGGCGTAGTTCAGGTACTGCCAGTCTACTAGAGCGTCTTGACTGGCAGCGAATCTTTGCATCTCTTCGGTGACGGCCCTGAGCGCCTCTCTCGCGATGACCTCGGTCTCTTCTCCCTTAACAGCAATGTCGAAAAGAAGCATGACTGCGTTATCCTTTACGAGATCAAGACCCATGACGTTACCACCGCGTTCCTTGCTGTGCTCGGCAAAGGTGGTCGGGATGGCCTGGAACATGCACTGGGTGATGAAGTCGCCATCAGTACTGATCGCCTTCCATGCTTCAACAAACTTGGTGTGGGCGTCAACAATGTACTTGAATACGGTGGCATCGTTCTTGAAAGTCATGGTGAACCAGATGTCACTAGATTGGTCAGTTTGATCATTTTGTAGCGTTCAGGATTACATACCGGTATCCAGTAGGTTGCTCAAGCTCGTCAGTAAGGTTCTTGTGGCTTGCCTTCCTTGTGGTGTCTGACAGAGCAGGGATAGCCATGAACTTGTCGAAGCCTGCGGGAGCTACGTTTCCGGCAACATCCTCGTATGCAGCGATGATGACGATATCCTTCATGGCGGGTAGGTAGCTCCAGAAGACAATGCTTGAGCCGTCAGGGTAGTTCTCGACATTGTCGACCCATGCTGTGTAAGCCTCGACGTGTTGTTGTGTGTGGTTCTTGTCGTGAACCCTGACACCACCCCAAAGGTCTCCGGCAGCGAATGTTTGCACGTCGTAGCGGGTGACGATACCGAAGTTGAAAGATCCGCCCTTGAGGGCTGTGAAGAGGTCGCTGTTTGACGTAGCGTTTGCGTTGACGACCTCGCTGCTTGATGTTAGCGACAAGTCATGTATTGTGTAATGATGCAACGGAGTACTGACCCATCCGCAAGGACAACCTCGAAGTTCTGTACCTGATCACAAGCAAAACCCCTTCGCGCAGTGTAGAATGAGTTTCCTCCTCCGGTCAAGAAACCGGCAACACCAACACTGCTTGCTCGTCCACCCGCGACAGTAACCCCATAAGGTTCAAGTGCGCCGTAAACACCACCCCATCGGGTGCCAGGCTGGAATCGTGCGAGGTTTGCTGCCTCATCATAGATAGTTGTGTTCATAAGACCGAGGTCGAGTGTCACGCCATCATTAATGTTGTTGGACCCGGCCCAGGTCGAATGACCACCACTCCGCACCGCAAACTTGCAGTTGCTTTGCGCACCCAGGGTCTTGACAGCAGTCGAAACCTCTTCGGTAGATACTGGTTGGACAATGCAGTTAGGCTGCAACTGAGCACTCACCGACCAGTAAGATGCTGTTCGGTTTTTGTACTGTTCATCATTCTCGTAAAAGATGTTTTTCAGTCCGGCAACCTCCAGCGATGGACACTAAATCCGGTCAGCAATGGTCAAAGTTTGACTAGGGAGTACCCGTCACGCACGCAACTGTCATTCTTACTGCCAAGAACCTCGTTCTTGTGGGCACCGAACTGGGCAGCTTCGGCGTGCAATCCCAGAGATGCAACAATAGCCGGTGCAAGGAGCTTCATGCTGTCTCAACTTTAAAACTTAGCACACTCGAAAAAGATGTTGTTGGACCGATATGCCGGGTCGGTTGGGGTTTTATTGCCGCCATCGCTGCAGGCAGAGTTACCATGCCAGCAGCGGCTAACAGCACCCGAAAGAGATATCGCTCCAACTTGGCATTTAAACCTGAAATGTCCTCCTCCTGCCTAGGTAGGCGGCTCTTATGCGGATCTTAACATGTATAGCAGAAGGGTACATATCCAGCTGCCGTTCTAACACGTGGTGTGCGCATTAGCCTTAAGGAGGGGTGTGCTCCTCTGGTCCCTGAGAAAAGAGGCGAGGGCTCCAGATATTTTCATCGATATGATAGGCAAATATTATCCTTGAACACGGGACGGTAAAATGGAACCTATCACACTCTGCACCAATGCCGCGGGCGGTCCGAACACAAGACCCACAAGCTACGGGAATAGCTAGTATCGGCCTTATCCGTCGGGGCTTCGACGTTTTCGATCTGTAGGATCAGATCTCAACCTTTTCGCACGCGTCAGCATCGACTCTTCGCTCGCATTGCGGCCAATTATCATGCTTCAGAAATGCGGATCTGAGAGGTGTTCACCATGACTCTCATAGCATATCGGTTATCGTATGATCCGATCTGTTCAGTGGAGACTGGGGCATGAACCAGATGAGCACTGAATCGTCTTGTGGACTGGAGTATGGAGGCCTGATATACAGTTTGAAGTGGTCTGAAATCAGTAAACCAGCAGCCAAATGTGCATTGGCCATGGTCGTCCCGATCACATGAAGGTGTCATATCTATCTGAGCAAGACCCCGGACCCCTTCTCGGTAGTTATTGTGCCTCCATGTCCATATCGAGGTCAACGGTCTGGCGAAGGGGTCAAGTTTACCGAGACGGGCCTTCACGTCCAGGCGAGTACTTCGATGCGATCGACATGAATGTCGTTCACATCCACTCCCCATGTGTTCCGCCCCTGGACTGGAAATTTAGCGCAAACTTGGCCGTCTAGCCTCCACAACCTTATGTGTGAAGCACCTCCGCCTGCTAGTTGGAGAAGAAGGTTTCAAGAGTCCTAGGCGTACATGCTCTCCCTCGTTGGGGTATTCTTTAGTTGCCGCTCCCGAGACCGTTGTTCATTAATCAACTATCCGTTCTTTGTCCAACGGTTGCCACGTCATGGCGACAGTTAACGGCGTCACAACCATCATCCCTCCACCCGATGGCTACGAGGTCGACTTCGCGAACCCACAGCGGAGGCTGGTGACGGAGACGTATGTGGTCTTCATCGTCGAGAACATCTTGGCACTTGCGTTTCTTGGGCAGCGGCTCTACACCAAGATTCGGCTTATGAAGCAGTTCCAGATTGACGATGGTATGATATCCAATAACAGTGGCAGAGGAACTCTTCTGACAGAGGTCCAGCATTACTCCTCCTTGGTTGGGCTTGTTCAGTGGGCACTCAAGGTCTCTTGATAACTGGATTCTCGACCGGTAGTATCGGTGTACACGCCTGGGAAATCTCGATCGAGAAATACGGCTTTTATTCGCGAGTAAGCTGACAACTCTTTCCCTCACCTACTTTTGTTGCGTATGTGCTGATTCGACGACTTGACAGCTCATTCTAGCAGCACCAGTCGTGTATGCTCCTTGCACAGCCCTGACGAAGGTCGCACTCTGCATCTTTTACAGTCGTCTCTCCCCGTCCGTCGCCTTCCAATGGGCTGTTTGGATCACCCTTTTCGTCTGCGCTGGTTCGTATACAGCGATATTCTTCAGTTTGATATTCGCTTGCAAGCCAATTGCAGCCAGCTGGGATCCTCTACTGCTCGCTACGGCAACATGCGTCAACAGAGGGGCAATCTATATTGCTACGGCTGTGATCGGTATCGTGACGGATGTGATGCTGATGGCCATCCCCATTCCGACCGTCTGGGGATTGCAAATGGCGATGAAACAGAAGATTGGACTGACAATCATGTTCTGTGTTGGATCAATGTGAGTGTCCACCGAGAAGGAAAGTCGCGCTACGAACCAATGCTGACTCCATATAGCACAATGGTCACTTCAATAATTCGCCTTATTGTGTTGATCCCAGCTTTGACAGACATGGACCAAACCTGGATCATAGCCGTGGGGTGCTTGTGGATGTAAGGCCTCCGTTGATCTGATGTGGTTTCAGGAAACTAACCACAATACAGCGTCGTCGAATCGAACTTGTTCGTCATATGCTGCTGCTTGCCGACCCTGCGACGTTTCTTAAAACACGCGGCCCCGCGATTAGTCGGCGAGAGTCGCGGATCTGAAAACAAAGATTCCTCAGGTCGCAATCGCGGGTTGCGCACCTGGGGAAGTGATGGAAACGCCAAGCGCAAGTACGATACGTTGATGCGCACTGTAGACGGCGCGCAAGGAGACGGCGACGATGAGATTCCTCTTGCTAGCGTGGCTCCTAAAGCCTCGGGTGGGCGAGAGGCCAAGGCGCCGACCGGGCACGTCTCTTATAAAGGAGACAACGATAGCGAGGAAGCTATCCTGTACGAGCGGACCGTCCAGGTCACATATGAAGGGGGTAACGGAGGCGACCCTGCGAATCCGTACACACGTCAGGTCTGGCCAGACGGGCACCTGGCACCCCGGGCCCTGTGAGCTTCGCCCCACGCTTGACACTAGAAGTGCGTTTCTCGATATGACTGCTTTCTTACGACATTGCGACGCTCTTATGGATATCCGATGTACTTAATCAATGGCTGGGTTTACGATGGATGTCGGATGCAAGGCTGGTACCAACTAGGCGTTGGAGGGTCGCCTGATTTTCAGGACAACAGATTACATAATCACTATGTCATAGCAAGTCGCGGTTATTGTGGAGCGCCAGCACGCGCCAGCCTCCGCACCATCACAACTTCTATCAGACATGTCTTCTTCCACAACCAAAGCCATCGTTCACAAACCCCCCATCCGAACGTTAGTCGATAGGCCATCTGTGATTCTCTATGGAGCTATTCAGTCCGATCCCAACAAGGACTGGCAGGCTCACCTCACAGCCTTGCTCTCCGACCTCCCCATTGCTGTCCTGAACCCGCGCCGAGATGACTGGGACAGCAGCTGGATCGAAGACATATCTTTCCCGCCTTTCAAAGAGCAGGTTGAATGGGAGATGGACTACGCGCGCATTGCCGATGTTATCGTTTTTTATTTCGCAGGCGAGGCCAAGGCATTACAGCCCATCACGCTGCTGGAACTAGGATTGTATGCCGGAACAGGCAAGGCGATCGTTTGCTGTCCAGAGGGTTTCTGGAAGAGAGGCAACGTACAGTTGGTATGTGAGAAGTACAACATTGATTTGGTGGAATCGGTTGAAGAGTTGGGTTACAAGGTACGGACAAGACTGTTGGCCAAGCTTCCTGAGGAGTCAACCACTGCGCATCCAGAGAACGCCGTGTGACATTGCCTCGTTTGCCTTCTACGCTTTCAACCACTCGCAATCAATGCCCCAAGAAATGCGCCTCAAGACTGTTGTGTTCAGGTCATTCGATTTCTAATTGTTCAGCTGCCAAGAAAAGCCACAGTATTGCCCCTCGCATTTGGTCTTCTGCATAATCCGCTTAGCCTTGTGTAGCCCGACAACATGGCTAACCACTCATGGTTGTCCATTCACGCGAAGATGTAAGATTGTACGAACGAATCGTAGCCTGACATTGCAAGCCGTCGCATCGTGGGGGTCCAGGCTCAACGCCGTGTTCAACGACCGGTCTCGAGCTGAACAGCGGCTTTGCGGATCTAGCCGAGAACTGATTCACATCAAGAAAAACTAATTCGGAACGAGAGCTGATTTTCGCGGTATGTCATACCAGGTCGGTGACATCTGCGTCTAAGGTCTTTACGCGCTGGCTGTTGAGCCCTGCAGCACTCGTCTTTCTGTGTGTTCCACCCTTCCCTCAGACGTATGCGCTTTGCATCTGGGATTTACGAATATTACCGAGCTACATGACGACGATGTCGGGAGATCTTCGACTTCTCAGTCTCGACGGAGGAGGCGTACGCGGTCTGGCCTCACTGTACATGCTAAGGAAGATACTATCCTTGGTTGGTAGCCCAAAGCCATGTGTCTATTTCGACATGATCTGCGGAACGAGTACAGGAGGCTTAATTGCGATCATGCTTGGTCGACTGGAGATGTCTGTCGATCAGTGCATTGAGGCGTACACCGAACTGATGGACGTCGTCTTCGATCCGAAAGACAGAAAACTGCCTTTCAAAATTCGGAATGGTAAAGTTCAGCCTCGGTACAAGACGAAACACATGGAGAAAGCGATCAAGCAGGTGATCTCCAAAGCTGGGTACACATCTGACGATCGGTTCAGAGGGTCGAAAATCTCAGCTTGTAAAACGTAACGTCCTAAGGTTCTTTGTCTTGAGACCATGCGCTGACTTAGCAAGGGTCGTGATTGCCATGACAGCAGAAAGTCGTAGTCCAATACGCTTTACCAGCTACGAGAAAGCCGGCGAGCAATCCAACTTTTACAACGAAGTCAAGATCTGGGAGGTAGCTCGTGCTACATCGGCTGCCACATCGTTCTTTGCGCCAATGGACATCACACACGCTGGTGCGCCCAGACGATTCCTTGACGCAGGTATCGGATCCAACAATCCCATCGACGAACTATATCTCGAAGCGATGTCGCTGTTCGACAAATCTGAAGAAGAGTTTGACAAGCAGATCCGAGTACTGGTATCGATCGGTACCGGTAGGCCAGCATTGCACGGGTTCGGCGAGAAGGTTACCGAGGTTGCGAAGAGTATTGCTTCGATTGCGACAGAGACTCAGACCACGGCGAACAAATTTCATCTGACGCACAAGAAGTTGGCGAGCCGGGGCGGATACTTCAGGTTCAACCCTCCTGACCTCTCCGAAGTGGCGATTGACGAGGCGAGCAAGAAAGGCATCATCGCGGAGCGGACTGAGGCGTTTAGCAACGATGCGCAGACCATAGAAATGGTAGAGCGCTGGGAGAACGTGGCAGGAACTGAGAAAAGTGCGTTGACTCTCGCTGTTTCCGAAGAAATGGACTTTACTTAACTCGCCTCCTATCTGGGTCGTATCTTGTAGTACGTAGATCAATGCTGACTACTATCATGCGATAGAACCAGTCATATCGCCAACTCCATCTGCAACACACGTCAAGCCTGCTGTGACAAAATTGTTCTATTCATTGTACAAAGGGCCCAAGTACATCAAAGAATATGCGCCATCGTACTGGCAGCATCTAACGCTGGACTCATACTACGTGTACGAAAAGATATACGACAGATGCGATCCCCAAGACAAAAAGGTTACTTGTACGTGGCGCGAAACTAACTACAAGTCCCGAGCAGTACTAACAAAGCCATAGTCAGCGCTTTCTTCGAGCAGTTCGGCCCCGATCCAAAGCCATCAAACAAGCAGGTCTTCGAAGCCTGGGCGCGCCTTCTCCGAGACAAGCGCGACGTGCGCAACAGCATACATCGGAAACCATTCGTGATGGCGATCTTGTACATGCTCCACGTCGAGTCTAGTCTTGACATCGCCAAAATGACAGACGTAGACCCTAATCGACGCGAGATGCTAAAGCGGTTCTCGAAATGGGTGCCGTGCAAGTGTGATGCACGTTGCGGCCGCGAGTGGAATTTTGTCAACGAGGTTGGGCTGTCGCGCGGCGGAAATGGTGGCGATGAATGTAATCTTCTGGGGTTGTTCGATGATAGCAAGTGGAAGTTGGTGTTCAAGACCGATAAAGTGCGGAAACTAGATGCGACCAGGAAGGCATGGGAAGCTTCTATGTGAGATGAGGGGAAATGTCGCTTGCTGCTTGTGTTCGTTGGAACTAGCTGACAGTTTTCTCAAGGTTGAATTTAGATATTAGGTCAATTTACAAAGCACCTCGCAACAAGTCCATTGAGAATGTCTCGCTAACCACGTCCTTCGTGCTCAGCCTAACGTTCATGGAAGTCGCCAATAGAGTCTTCGTGTAGCCATTACAAGCTAATGGTCATAGAATCTGTTGCCAAAGCTGCTGCCCGATTCGTGTACTGTTGCCATCGGCTGTGGCATCTCACTCGCAGTGGGCCCAGACCATTCACTAGCAGCCTCAGATGGCGGCACGTTTGGATTCGCTCCGGGAGGCGTCAGGCCGCTCCATTTAGCCATGATCTCATCCCGAGACCCGCCATATGCGGGTATGACTTCGGTACGGGGACCTTGAGTGACAGTCGGCTCGTACTGTAACTGAGATTGCTTCTTCGGTTTGACAACATCGTTGTTATCCTGATACCGCTTGCGCCACCAACAGAAATATCCGATGAGAAAAGCGATGACAAGTACAGCAATACCAGCCACCGTTATGAGCGCAATGGCAGTGGTACTGATCGGATTACTGCTGCTGCCACCACTACCTCCACTACCACCGGCCGCTGGGGTTTTGCTGCCGGCGGTGGGCTGGAGCCCACTAGTGATCGATCGCAGGAATTCATCGATACCCGTGGTGCCGGATCCCGCGGTCAGAACTTCTCCTTCAACTGTTGATGTCGCAAGCACGAGAATGTCGTCTGAAGCTGTTCCACATGCCCAGGAGTAGAATGTATTCGTGTCGTCAAGGGCAGAAGTGCGGGCGTAGCGGAAGCACTGTTGTGCTTGCTGCGAACTACAGACTGAGATGAGCATTCATTCTATTACAAAAACTCTGGAGGGCATACCATTGAAGAATTGAGCCATATATGGACGAGCAGGTGTCGGCTGGGAGGGAATAGCCGAAACAATCTGTCTGACCGTACGGTCGGCATGTAGCCCAACTATCGAGACACTCAACGTTATTGCAGCATGCAAAACCCTTCTCAAGTTGCTGTGTAGTGATGCAGTTATAGTTTTCCGCACACGTGATAGGCAATTCTGTTCCAGGTTAGACGTTGACTGCTTCCCAAGATGAAGATCGATTCACCTGAGTTGCCACGAATGAAACCGCATGTCGCAACGGATCTTTTGAATATATCGCCATGTATGACAGGAGCCGGCGTGATGAGACTCTCTGGGATCGCTACCTGCACTCCTGTCGCCCGTACCTGTGAATTGGGGATGTCTTTTTCAACGACCAGCGCGGCGATACTCAAAACATGGAATCGGAGACTTGGTCGCATCGTGATCTACGGTAAAGCGTTATAGAAGAAGTTCCTGTGGTGTTGTGAGTGCCAGCGAGGAATTCGGTTCGTGCACATGCGCTGTACCTGCCTCTACCCTCGGCTATCCTTGTTCCACGAGCTGAGAGAGCAGAGTATCAGCCTTCCTGCGCAAGTATGCATGTGTAACACATCGGTCTGGCCGAGCGCCACCAATTTAACTATATCTCGTATCTTTGGGTATCATGAATGCCGACGGCTTGTAGGACCTTGGGTTAAGCGTGGGGTAGCTCATGCGAGCCTGTTGAAGCACCTGCAGGCAGCAATGTCAGCCGCAGTCCGAACGGACCTATCGCGACCGGTTCTTCTCCTAAGGACTTTGTACGGAACGAGTAATAGTCCAGTGGTGTTGTACGCTGGTCTGCAATGTCCAGGTTCGCGAGAATGACAACCTGTTCGTGCGATCAGGTCCTGGATGCCAAGTTCCGCAAGGCCACACCCAAGATTCGATTGCAGCGCGGTATCACTAATGAAGCGCGAAGGCCATTGGGAAGGCACATGCTGAGTGCTGAGCTTGGCGGGCTGAACGCCTGCCTCAGGGATGGGCATGGCTGAATTGCAGGTGCAACGCGCCTTGAAACGCAATCTTCTGGCGCGGTGCGATCGGAAGAGAGCTTTCATAATTCAATTATCGAATGCAGCCCTGAAATGGTATCGTTAGTGACTCTCAGTCCTCAAAAAGAGCGTGTGTTGTGAAAGCTGTTGCATGTGGAAGGGGGGCAACGGGGCCGGGCATTCGGGCGTTGCCCATCTGGCAGTGGCGCTAAGTCACATGCGGCGCCACTGCACTCCACCTGGGCAGCTTCCTCGAGGCCGCCCGCTCCCGGTAGCCGTCAGTATTAGCACTCGCTCGGTGAGCGTAAGAGTCATTGGCAATATACTGTTTGATTGCCGATGCTACGCTCTACTTATAGAGTGTACGGCTCCTGCTTCCACGAAACCCTCCTCTCATCCCTCATCCTATCGAACCTTACCACACTCTGTAGCAAAACTTGGGCACCAAGTGCACAGTCCTCTTCCTTGCAGAACTCCCTTGGGTTGTGGCTCACACCTTCTCTGCACGGCACGAAGATCATGCTCGTCGGGCAGCGCTTACTCGCATAGACGCTATCATGCCCAGCACCAGAAGTCATCTCCATAGACTGGTTAGGGCCGAGAATACTGCGCGCGGATTGGCTGACAGACGTGATGCAGTCTGCGTGGAACTTGGTTGCTGGGCTGTCAAAATCCTCGACTATCTCAACACTGAGTGGAAGACCGCTTGTGCAACCGTGGTTTGAGCCTTCAACATCTTCGCCTGCAGCGATCTTGGGGAAGTCGCGGAGGACTAGTTCCTTCATCTTCGCGACTGTCTCGTCTTTCGGTGCCCTGATGTCGAGGCTGAAAGTTACCTCGCCTGGCACTGTGTTTGTTGAGCCAGGCTTCAGGTTGAGTATACCCGTGGATGCTAGTGCGGCGTTGGCGGTTGCAAGACGATGAGAATGGAGGATCATTTTGCTCGCTGTCAGCAGCGCGTCAGCTCGTGATTTGAGATCGGTAGTTCCGGTATGTGTGTCTCGCCCCTTAACTTTAATAGTCATCCATTTGTAAGCTTGCACTCCAGTGACAACTCCGATCTTCTTGTTTGCCATCTCCAAAAGTGGGCCCTGTTCGATATGAAGTTCGAAGTGCGCCGCCATTGGCATGGCCTCGTAGCTCGCTGGTGTACTCCCCAGGTAGCCAATGCGCTCAAGCTCAGACTTCATGGTTGCGGTTCCAGGATGAACTTCGCGAAGGTTATGCGCCGTTTCAAGAGGAATAGAGCCCGCCCAAACTCCGCTGGAAACCATTGACATTGGGAAGCGCGCACCCTCCTCGTTAGTCCAGTTGACAACGCCGACAGGGTACTCGGTCTCCGTCCAGTTGTCAGCGAGCACTCTGAGCATCTCCACACCAGCAGTAACACCCAGAATGCCGTCATATCGTCCACCAGTAGGCTGCGTATCCAAGTGACTTCCTGCAAATGTAGGTGGTTTGTCGTTCCGTAGTCCCGGTCGCACAGCGAATTGATTTCCCATGGCGTCAACGGTAACCTCACAGCCGAGTGCCTTTGTTGTTTCTGCAAACCAGTCACGTGCAGTCTTGTCTGCATCAGACAGCGCCAATCGCTTCATACCCGTCTCCGTTGGCTTTCTACTATCGTCAGCCACATGGATATCCATTACTCGGACCACTTACTCGCCCCATGGCTCGCCTGTACCCCATTGGCATGTGTCGTGGATATCCTTCATTAATCTCTCCTGGTTGACTTTCAGATCTCTCATCGAATCATCATTCATCTCCTTCGTTCTGATATGCCATTGTGGCGAATTAGAGAAGCATCTGACATGCTTGCATGCTATTCCTGCTCTGGGAGTAGGTACAGCTCTCGGTGCGGGGTAGCGTCTGCTTGCAATGCGGAATGCAGTCGGGAATCTGTTAGCCAGCAGAGCCATTATGTGAAGAAAAGTGAGGAGGGAAAGAGATGAAAGTCATGGCGGCACGGGTCATGGAAGTCGGCATCTCAAAGGATAACATGACATGACAGGCGCCCAGTCGTAAGGAAGGGGCGGGTCGGATGTCCGATAACAGTAGTGCGGGACTATCCCGCTTTCTGATATGCAGGTTATCCGTCGGCTAATGGAAGCATGCGAACACGCGATGATAAGGCGGATGGAATGGACATTAGTTGAAGAATGGCAGTTTGTTGCTTTCGCAGTTTGTTCCAGAAAGATGCTGGACTCATGGGGCGAAATGGGTGCGCCCCATGTGCTAATAATGTGTGTATTGGTATGGGGTATCTGTAGTGTAGCTTGTCCTTAACGCCTTTGTATGCTGCTCAAATCAAATTGCCTATGCGACTTTTCTGGCTGTGCGACGGATCTCAGACGGCCTTGGCTTTCCCCTTTCCTTCGATCACTGGCTTGACGTCCTCCTCGGAGACCTCGTCCTCTTCCTCGCTATCGCTCATGAACTCATCATCTTCGTCGTCCCAGCCGAACATGGCCCGTTGTTGCACAGGTTTTGACGAAGAAGCGGTCGGTTGAGCCTCGTCCTCTTCGTCCTCTGAGCTATCTCGTTGTGCCATCAGCATTTTCTCGATAGCTTCTCTCGTCTTGTTCTCTGCTTCCTCTTTGTCCTCAACCCACTTCCCATCAAGACGTGCTGTGCCTCTGCTGTTTTGTAGCTCTTCTTGCTTGCGCTCGGTGCTGGCCACGATGTCCTCCCACTTCTTCCGTCGCTCCTCCTTTTCGCGCTGCTCCATCTCGGGCTTGATCGCGAGGTACTCGGCAAGCACCTTGGCTTCAGTGACTGTGCGCAGGCGTCGCCCGTCCAGGTTTCGAGATGATCCATTCACGTCGCCCTGCTTCTTCTTGCGCGAGGACATGCGACCACCCTGGGCGCGCAGGATAGATCCGAAACCACCCTTTCCACCACATAGTGGTACGGTCAGGCGTAGGGATAGAAAAGTGTCTGCAGGCGAGGACAAGAGCGACGACACGGGCGCAGCGTCATGACGTACGGAGCGGCGCGAGTTGGTGGTCAGGATGTAGGATGAGTTCTGGATCCATGGTGCGCGTTCGTAGAGTGTATCGTAGATGGAGGTAAGGGGCGCATCCTTTTGCGTCGCAAAGGCGATGTTCTGCCCGCGAATACTGTTGACGATGACGGTGATGGGGGACTGAGTGGCGGTGTCCATGGTTGCGACGCGGTGTTGTGTATGCCGCGCGTGCGTGGTGAATATCGCGATCGCTTCCAAATGCGATTTGGGAGTTTTAACTCTGATTAAACTGAAAGTTGCTTGTTGGTGGGTGAGAGTGGTCTGTTGAGGAAGCAGGCGACTGAGTCTTGAAGATTGGGGACCGGGCCTTGGCGGAACCGCAACAGCTGGTCATAGCGCTCGCTTAGACTAGCTTCGCACCCATCACTCGAAATCGCCTGCTCTCTACAGCGAACTTCTGCCCTTATCGACCTTCAACCACAACTCCTGACATCCCGAGACTTCTCGCAAACCGTCAAGATGCTCATCCCCAAGGCCGACCGCAAGAAGATCCACGAGTTAGTCTACCTCTACCACCAACAACGTCACGGCGCATTCGAGCTCTGAGTTTCGCACGAAATGATACGACTTGATATGGGCTGAGCTACACCTGATTCCCTTCCACACAATTGAACACATTTGCTAACCAGTCTTCTCTTCAGGTACCTCTTCAGAGGTTAGTATCCCCGCGCACTCGAGCCATGGCTATGGCACAATTATACATTTTCGCGGCTTTGCTGCATATAAGGATAGGCTGACACACGGTCACCACAGAGGGAGTTCTGGTTGCTAAGAAGGACTTCAACCTTCCCAAGCACGGCGAGATCGACACCAAGAACCTTTACGTCGTCAAGGCTTGTCAGTACCTCCTACTGCACTGCGACATCGTCGGCCCCTAACAGTCAACAGGCCAGTCTTTGACCTCGCGCGGTTACCTCAAGACCCGCTTCTCATGGCAATGGTACTACTACACCCTCACCCCTGAGGGTCTCGACTACCTCCGTGAATGGCTCCACCTCCCCGCCGAGATCGTTCCCCAGACCCACATCAAGCAGCAGCGCTCTGCTCCTCCCCGGGGTATGCTCGGCGGCGGTGACGACCGTGAGCGCCGTGGTGGCGGCCGTGGTGGACGTGGCGGTGACCGTGGTGGTGACCGTGACGGCTACCGCCGCCGTGACGCTGGCGAGAAGGCTGAGGGTGCTGCCCCTGGCGAGTTCAAGCCCGAGTTCCGTGGTGGCTTCGGCCGGGGACGCGGCGCTGCTCCTGCTTCGTAAGCAGTTGAGGACTTTCTGGAGTAAGGCTAGATACGGTTTCATCTTCATGTCGGGCTTTACTGCATTACAAAATGGGTTCGGATACGGCGAAATGACCGGATGATACTACGAATGGATCGCTTGTCTAAGTTGCGATGATGCAGTCCTGGACAACCACGTCCTCAATGATACCCCATAACCTTCAGTGAATTATCCTGTTTGATTTGCTCCTTGTGCATCTGAGGGCGTGTCTTGCCACAGATCATGTCAGCTGCACCTCGTTGATATTGGGTTGAACGATCATGACGCGACATAAGGCGCCTTGCACTTCTTCACTATCTCGTAGCACAGAGGATCGTCCGTCTCAATGTCCGCCCTTTCCAGTCTTCATCAACCCATCGCCACTCTGCATCCAATTAACACAAGTCTGCCCGATCGGCTGCCCACCTGATTCCTTCTCCACCAAAACCCTCAAGAACTCGAGTCTCTCCTCTACACTCGCCTGACCATCGTCGCGTCCTTCTTGCTTGAGCGGGGCCCTCCCCAGCACAGCGATGTTCCTCGTACTAGGAATCCTCAGATGCTCCTTCTCACCCACAAACCCCGTCTCCTCTGTTAGATGGCATACCCAACTGCACAGACTGGCATACGCAGAAGGTTGCTTGGGCTTCTTCGAATCCGCCGTCATGGGATCAGGTATAACGTGTTTTGCATGCGCCGGCGCGCGAAATCTCGTTCCACCAAAGTCATGCGAACAGCATGGTATGGCGATAAAAGGCGAGGAATTGAGGTACGCCAGTAACGGTGTCCATGGGGTGAGTTCGTCGGCGTGATTGCTGATGATGAAGGTACCGGGTGGAAAGACGCCGTTGTGGTGGGGTGTTGAGGGGGGATTTGTGTCAGAGGGAGGTGGTTGGAGTATCTCAGGTACGAGGAGCATTTCTTGCAGTTTCTCAGTGTGGTGTGGAGGGAAGGTTTCCCATGTTTTTCTTCGTCGGGCGTCGAAACCCCAGCCCTGCCAACCTTCGGCGTTGAGGATGTGGACGAGCAGACCGTTTCCGCAGCCGATGTCTACGAAGCCTGGAAAGCTAGCTTGTGCTGTTTTATAATTTTGCTCTTTCGCATCTTCCTCCCCTTCCATAAAGTCCTCGTCATGCTTGATTTTGTCTTTAGGTCCGTACATGTCCGTCCATAGCTCCATGAGGAAGGCAGCAATACCCAGGTCTTCGAAAACATGTTTCTCAGCAGGCGTCTGCTCCACCCATCCTTCGATCAGATCTTTTGCATACTTGCCCTTCAAGAATGCATATGTGTCCTGGAACTTCTTTTGACTGATGACTTGATCGTGATGAACGCGCTTCTTATACCCAGCTTGCCGACCGCGCGAGTGTTTGTGAATGACTTCCAGAAGCTTGAGACCAGTGCGCGAGAGGCGGTTATCGAGAGGTTGGCCAGGGAAGAGGGAGTAATGGATAGATAGGTGCCCGGGTGCGTATATCAGAGATGTATGTGATGATGTAGAGGTGGATGGAAAGTATGTATATAGCATGGCCAACAAGCGGACTTTGGGGTGATAGTAGGGAATGGCTTCTGGGGTTGCAGCATGAGGAATGTATACAACCATATACCGCTCTGCTTTAACAGTCTCCTCCTTTCCATCTGTACTGGTGACAGTAACGTCTTCATGCGATACAAACAGATGACAAGTCTGCATCAGCGAGTCATCCAACTTCGGATTCCGAGGTATGAGTTTCCGTACAACCGTGTACTCTAGCTCGTACCCTTCTATACCTCCATCGATCAGTTGCGGTCGGCATTCTGGTCGTAGATGCTTGACAATACTTGCCAGTTCCTCTGGGATACTAGCCTTGGGATTATATGTTGCGTCTGTGAAACTTTGGTAGGAAAGCTCTGCGCGCGCAAGATGGGTTGAGGTCCGATTAGGGTTCTCGAGCAGGTCGCGACTGGTTTCGAGAAAGTACTCAGGCGCAAGGTTTGCCGGCGCAGATTGCATTATGGTCCATATCTCGGGTGGGAGGCCGGTAGAAACCTTAGGTGCACTGGATGTGTCATAGGGTGAGAACTTGTCGCCTGTAGATTCTTGGTTTTCGGGCTTCGCTATTGATTGTGCTTTTCCCACTTCTGCGTGATCTGTGTTCTTCTCGCTAGTTCGTGGCGTTCTGGTTTCGCGATTCTCGTGTTGCTCATCGTGTGCCATCTTGCCCGCGAACTATCTCTTGATCTTGAATGACTCGTCCACAATCATAAATTTCAACCCCCGCCTAAATCAAATAATCACCAGATTGCTGCGGTCCAAGCGATAATCAGGAGCATCCGCCATCGGCGATAAGTTGCTTTTTCGATAGTAATCGTTGTCTTGGATTCTCAAGTTGCGCGGCGGCGGTGATGACGGCGTTGGTGGTAGAGTGCAAGCGAGCAAATCGAGGTTTAGCTGATC